GATGAAGATGAAGATGAAGATGAAGATGAAGATGATGATGCTGCTGATGATGATGATGATGGTGATGGTGATGGTGATGGTGATGGTGATGATGACGATAACGATGACGATGATGATGAAGAAGAAGAAGACGAAGATGAAGATGAAGATGAAGATGATGATGATGATGGTGATGGTGATGTTGATGGTGATGATGACGATAACGATGACGATGACGATGATGATGAAGAAGACGAAGATGAAGATGAAGATGAATATGATGATGATGATGGTGATGGTGATGTTGATGGTGATGATGACGATAACGATGACGATGACGATGATGATGAAGAAGAAGACGAAGATGAAGATGAAGATGAATATGATGATGATGATGATGGTGATGATGATGATGATGATGATGATGATGATGATGACGACGGTGATGATGACGATGACGATGACGATGATGATGACGACGATGACGATGACGATGACGATGACGATGACGATGACGATGACGATGATGATGATGATGATGACGATGACGATGACAATGACGATGATGAACATTACCACTATTGTTATGATTGCCAGTGTTATCATTATTACTGTCATTCGTGGTGATATTATTCTTATTATTACTGTTGCTACTACTGCTATTCATCACTCTGCTAACCTTAGCCCTATCATTACTGTTCTTCGTTATCTGCGTATTCTTCTTCTCGCTATTATTGTCAGAAGTATTGTCGCTGCTGCTACTGCGCCTGTCGTTGTTTTGTCTTTTGGCGGCCAGGGTCTTAAGCCTTTAGGCCCTAAACCCGTATTATCGAACCCTTGGAAGTGTTAAAGTCTCATATCTTCATAGAACACTTATGAAGCCCTACCCCAAAGCCTAACAACCCTGTAGCCCAAAACCCTTTGGCGGAGACCCGAGAAGCTAGCTGCTGCTCGGCGACCGCCAGTGGAGACCCGGCAGAAACCGTGGTGGACGCGAGCTCATCGGAAGCTACCTGGGATTGGGCGCCGGGGATGGCCTGAGGTTCCGGTTTCAGGGTCAAGGTCTGGGGTAAACCCCCAAAACTGGGCAAAATAATGGCCCAAGACCTGCAATAGGCTATTATTGTGCATACTTTTTAGGGTCTAGGTAGGGTTTAGGGGGCACTTGCAACAAACGAACAATGCCCCTGAACCCTGAAACCCTACAGCCCCCCACTTCTGGGCAGAGCTGCTGCGACCACGGAGGGCATGCCAACGCTACAAAGGACCTCCAGCCGGGGGCCACTGCCGTCGAGGCTTTGGGGCTGTGAGGCTTGGGGGGATGGCTGTAATGTAGAGAGGGTTTAGGGTTTAGGGTTTAGGGTTTAGGGTTTGTAGAATATGGTTTCGGGGTATACTATACTATAATTATGATGATGAGGAGAACCCGAAATCATGCAGGAAAAAATTGAGGCCCCTATATTATGCTATGGCTTGATAAAATACGTAGGTTTGGCCTGGGGATGCGAAAGGGCTCCCGTAAGGGCTCCCGATTGGTTAAAGCTCCTATATTTCTTGGATACGTGGGCAGCTTGGCCAATAAATCAAGGTGCTAGCGATGACTCAAATAGCCATGATCTATTGCTCAACAGCCGTGCGCTTATGTCGGCCATGAAGGCTGACTAAATGATAAAACATAGACGCCAGACGGGGCGGCACAGTGACATTCGCCGTCCCGAACACATTAACATTTAAGGGGGGAAGCCCTTTCGGGCGGGCTCTTGTAGCAAGGATCCTGATATCCTACTCATGGCATTGACTGAACCCTAAATCCTAAACCCTAAACCCCTAAACCCTAAACAAACGCCTAAACCCTAAACCCTA